TCATTAAGTTGGATTGTCATTCGGTCGGCTAGCGAGTTAAAGTTTTAGTTTTTATAGTCTTTACAATCTGAACAAGTCACTGCGTGTTTTGAATATTTTGTTGCTTATAACGAAATGCCCAGATAGATCAAGTTGCAGTAGACCGAAAATCACTTGAATCATTGGTGCAAGCCACAAATTCATCTGTAGCGCTGAAAACTGTTTAAAACATTAATAAGTATAGAAATGCATAAAAATGTATGAAATGGACCGAAAAAAATTATAACACTTTTCATGATCAAGGACAAGGTTAAGTAAGCAGCAGACGTAATCTCAACTCTCTTCCATAATAAATGAGGTCAAAGTAGCTGAACACAATGTTGGCGGTATGTCATATAGTCTGCAAGGAAATGTTTGTCTTTATAGATATTGATATATCATCTGCAACCCATTTCTCTGAATTATTGTAAAGAACCCACAATGAAACGTTAATGCGTGTTAAACTGATTTATGAACGTCCTTGGCCAGTCAATTAGTACGAATACTCAACAATTTACAATTAATAGCGGGTGGTTATATTGTATCTAATTGTTATCGCATTCATATGACCTACTTTTAGAATTTTGGCTCCAACACATTAATTACCAACCATCTTCCTACCTGAAATACACATTGTAGTGAAAAATGCTGTATAATATATGGTAAACCTACACATCTTGTATAAGAATACCATTTTGTTTCAAATGCTTAAAATTTGCTGCAGTTCAAGACATGTTCAGGAGCCCAACGTGTTACAGCGTAACTCAATGCAAATTCGTTTGTTAAGCGATCATGGTGTAACTCACGAGTCACACGTGATACATATTGAGAGTCACGCGTAACGAGCCATCAACTAACGAGCTAAAAATGTATCTAAAATGTCGATGAAATAATAAATTGACTTATGGGACAATAATAAAGGTTAATTAACCATACCTTATATTACCTGATTTTACTTTAGTGTTAATGAAATAATATATAGTGATCTTGATATTTAAATCTTCATTGTGGATGACTCCATGTATTGGTGATCTCAAAGCCTCTCCCTCATGGCATGAACTTGCATGTGTCTAATGTATACGTGAATATATTCCGAATGTGCTCTCGATGTTGTGAACCCAAGCACAATAAATGATTGTAACCGTATAGATGAATGTATGGATCGACTACGATACTACCACTACAGCTTGTAGCTGAAGACCTAGTAAGACCTAGATTTCATGGTGAACTTTGAATGACGGATGTAGACCAATGTACGTGAATTGCAATTGATAACTAATAGTCATAGCTTGCTGCGTCAATGCAAACACGGGCCATGGTTTCACAGTGAAATATTCGTGTGTTGACGTAAGTTGATGGAGTGAATATTACTTCTAAAACTGAAGTTCAAAAGCGGACGTTATTATGAAATATAAATTTGCAAAAATTAGAAACTGGGAAAAAAATATATTTCACAATTTAATTTGTGTTTGTTATAATTAATAATTATTTTCATGTAACCAAATAAATAATAATACGAAATTTATCCATATTTTGAAATTTAAATTGAATTGAATTACTCTAAAACTAACATGAGTACCGTTTTAACTTTCACGGTAATTTTTGTGGTAGCATAAAAAACAACTTGGTATTATCTATACTTTAGGCTATTAATATAATAATCGGTTGTAGTTACACTTACAGTACAGTTACAGTACAGTTACAGTACAGTTACAGTACAGTTACAGTACAGTTACAGTACAGTTACAGAGTAGTTGCAGTAGCAGGAGATACTGTAACAAATTCGAAACAACGGTGTTTCCATACTATTCACCCATAAACTGGGATTCAGTCAACATTGCAGTAAATAGTTTCGTAAGCTTCCTCAGTATGACATGTACTTGAACAGTGGTTGATGTCTGCATACTGAGTCTTGTGATGTATCGGTGGAAGATGATTTTGAACCAAATTTGAAGCATCTTCCTTTACTTTGAGCTCATCAAGTTCGGCATATACTATCTCACCTGGGCGCTGATTAAAAAAAATGTATAAGTATGAGTATAAAAGAATATAACAAAACAAACCTTAAACAAATGAATTGATGTATGTTAGTGTGGATGGCGGTGACATGTCCCTAAGTAGTACAAGTCCCAAATGCTCCTCCAGAAAGTTGTGTATATATACAATCTAGTTTAAAACTATAGCGATAAAATTAAAAAGTTTTTAAACAAAATCAACTTATGATATAAATAAATTTAACAAATATAATATTGATTTATTCTAATGATTAATTGGAACAGTTTTACTTAATAATGAGGTCTTAAACAATTGCGAGCGGCGATCTATCTCTAATATCTATTGGTAGATTATCCCAGAGAACAGCCCCTCTATAACTGTAACTACTTTTTCCAGCTTCATTATTTTGAATTGTAATTTGAATTCCTTAGGTTATGAGAATGAATGGAAGTGATGTTTTCAAACATTTTAGTCAAATAACTTGGTATCCCTTAATTAATTTTGTCGTACATTAAGACTGCTAGTTGATTAAATTTTCTTGTTTCAAGATTGTCCCAGTTTAATTCTTGCAGTATAACTTACYCTTTTCTTGCTTTTATCAACCTGTGCATATACGAGCATAGCTTGTGGTTGCTGGTTGTCGTTCTTCTTCGATACGTCACTCTCTGCGTTAATTGACATATCTGGCTTGCATGGGTCAGTTGGTTTGGACGAGGATACAT